GTCTTCCTCTATGACGCTCCAGAGCTCGCCACAATGTTATGACCACCTTTAACAATGAGCAAAAAGTAGGCTGCTGAATTTCTTTTAAAAGGCAAAGGCAACTTTAGAACCCTGTCTGTGTATGTCTGGATCTTGGAGCCCTGGTTAATGTATATAAAAATTACATTTCAGAGCCACATAGTGATTTAAAAAATATTATAGCAGTCGGTCCTGACATTCAAATTAAATTCAAAGTATTGCCCATAACTACTACCAACCAGTGTTAGACACGTTAGACACATGACAGAGTTTGCGTGTGTGTCTACTACCGTTCAAAAGTGCGGGGTCAGTATAAGATAGATAAGACGTATTGGAATGATTTCTGAAGGATTGTCAGTTTTAGCCAGTGACAGGGAATCAAGCACGTGTTTAATTTAGACATAAAGTAATAAAGATATAGTTCTACTGTAATGCTTATGCAGGTCTAATATGAGACATTTCCCCTGCTGTGCTGCCTAAGCTACAAGCTTTGTGATTTAATAGTTTTAAAATATATCAAATAAATACAAAACCTAATTAAAAAGTTGTTTAACCATGTTTATTTCCTGGATTAAACGGCCTACATAAACTAGGTTCACGCATAGACAAGTGAAAACTACACCGTGGTGTTGTCCAAACTCAGCTTAACTATTTGCATGTCACATGGTGACAACTATCCAATCAGGTACCAGGTTATCTGACCTATGTAATTAGTCCGGAAAATAAACATAAAAGCTAACTATAAACGGAGATTGTTCTCCGTGTACAGTGTTCTTGGTTTTGAGCTCATAAAATACGATGTGTTAAATTGCAAAGCATATTGTGCAAGTAAATATGCAAGCAAGGGGGTTAAATGCGGAGTTCAGAAATGTTTACCCATCTGCCTTCGGGGCGCACTCAAGCCGGTCTGCGTCAGAAACTCCGATGTTCTCCGCGGCGGAACGACCGACTTCGACAAGCGCCGAGTCTCTCACTCCTTACGTTTCTTTTCCAGCCAACATTGGCACTAGCTCCTCAGTCACTTTTGGATGTCGTTTCGGAAATAATTGTTATCGTTGCAAATTTCCACAGAACGCCATGTTTCCGTCTAGTGTTGTAAAACAAAATGCGAATGGACAGTCTGCCAGTAAACCCGTGGACTATAGTGACGGCTGGTTTAAGGAGTTCGCTTTTTACCAAAGTTACACAGGTTCCTACCCAAGAATCCACCCTGCCTATATTGATTTACCTGTAGTTCATAGAACAATGACCGGAGATTCCAGACAGGATACTTGCTTGACAATGGAAGGCCACCAGCCATGGAACTGGTCAAACAATTGCAGCGGTCAACTTTATTGCTCCAAAGACCAGACGCAGAGCCCGCATAGCTGGAAGCCATCATTAACAGGTAAGACTTGTGAGATCTGCTCTGTGAATCACTCCTCGCCTCTCTTCATTAGTTTTTGACACCGCCTTATTAAATGTCATGATCATGTCCGTATTAAAGTAGGCTAATTAAATTAATTCTTAAAATAAATGAGAACCACATGCTAAGTACGCCGATATTAATCAGGACAAAAATTAAAAACGTTCCCCTTTAAGTAAACAGAGTTCTTTTGAACCTGGCTTTCTTTTGATGGAAATTTACAAGACGCCATTATTTTGGTTTTAAATTCATGTTTACATTTAGATCATTGGAAGGTGTTTCTTTAAAAGGCTGCGTTAAGGTAAATTGCAATAAATGTTACATCATTGTTAATCTTGGAATAATGAAAAGATCTTGTAACAAAATACAACCTTTTCTAATGATTTGTATTTCCTCAGAGGGAACCGCGGTTTCGTTCTGTCAGCGCGGGAGAAAGAAGCGGGTTCCTTACACAAAGTTGCAACTGAAAGAGCTCGAGCGGGAATACACCAACACTAAGTTCGTTACAAAGGAAAAGAGACGACGGATCGCTTTTTCTACAAACCTGTCTGAGAGACAAGTAACTATATGGTTTCAAAATCGTCGAGTCAAGGATAAGAAGAGGCCTGAAGTCTGCGCTCTGTGAATCACTCCTCGCCTCTCTTCATTAGTTTTTGACACCGCCTTATTAAATGTCATGATCATGTCCGTATTAAAGTAGGCTAATTAAATTAATTCTTAAAATAAATTAGAACCACATGCTAAGTACGCCGATATTAAAAGGACAAAAATTAAAAACGTTCCCCTTTAAGTAAACAGAGTTCTTTTGAACCTGGCTTTCTTTTGATGGAAATTTACAAGACGCCATTATTTTGGTTTTAAATTCATGTTTACATTTAGATCATTGGAAGGTGTTTCTTTAAAAGGCTGCGTTAAGGTAAATTGCAATAAATGTTACATCATTGTTAATCTTGGAATAATGAAAAGATCTTGTAACAAAAGACAACCTTTTCTAATGATTTGTATTTCCTCAGAGGGAACCGCGGTTTCGTTCTGTCAGCGCGGGAGAAAGAAGCGGGTTCCTTACACAAAGTTGCAACTGAAAGAGCTCGAGCGGGAATACACCAACACTAAGTTCGTTACAAAGGAAAAGAGACGACGGATCGCTTTTTCTACAAACCTGTCTGAGAGACAAGTAACTATATGGTTTCAAAATCGTCGAGTCAAGGATAAGAAGAGGCCTGAAGTCTGCAAAGAATTTTAATCCTATTAAAGGTTAATTCGTGCATATGCTGATTTATATAGTGAAGAGTTTAGCTCTTTGTTCTTTTTTTATTAACAAGGGCGATATAGCCTATTATTTTATTATTTATATCTTGTTCAAATATTTGGATGTACTCACATTCATACTCAGTCGTAGTTTATTCAGATAATTTTATAATGGCTTCCAGGTTTGCTGAACTAATGTTCAGATGTTCAAACGGTGTCAGTAGCTTGAGGTTTTTTCCCCCCGTTGTTTTTTTATAATTTAAGTATTGTTAAACAATTGTCATTAGTTATTTCTACGCCATAAGCCAGGCCACTGGTTTTTCATTTCAGTCAAAATGTTATGTTTTACTTTTCGTTTCATGTGAGTGCAGTATATTTGTTGTTGTTTATAGTAGTTGTATGGCAGGATCTGTAACAAGAACGCTAATGATAAATAAATTAATTAATTAATTAATAAATAAATAAATTCAAGCGTAATGTTGATTTAAGAGATCCGAGCGACTAAAAATAATTTGTTTTAAACCGTACGACTGTGGCTGGTTTCCCCGAAGCAAAACGTTAATAGCGTGTTTATTGTTCCCTGTCACGCTGTTTTCAGCTTTTAAAAGCGACGTTTTTCATCAAATTATCTGCCTGGTTGTTTGGGACAAATTGTAAATGAAATGTAGACTATGACCACCGGTTTTACTCTGGCTTTTAAATGCACTTGGACTTGTTTTTGGTCAAACCGCGTCTGGACTTTGACCTTGAACTATACTGATGTACCATATCATTTTCATGTACACATTTTTGTTTTTTAAGGTTGAACAAGTGATTCTGGGCTTCTGTGTTGTCAGTACGCAACAGAATGTGAATTTCTAAAGCAATCCGATTTTATCGGTTTTCATGAATTTACTGGACCCGTAAAATGTGGGAGGTTAGCTGTCTCCACTCTTTCCGGAAATTGCCTGTTTACAATAGTCATTTTGCCTGCACGTGCGTGCATGTGCACATTCTTTAAAATCGTGTTTTGGATAATCTGGACAAATCTTTGAAGGTAAGATAAAATATAACTTGCATATCCTACAGTGTCAAATTTGAGAGACAGATTACAAAGAGATCCGATATCTAAAGTAATGTTTCATTTCTTGCACTGATAGCTCGGCATCTCAAGACAATCGACTTAAATGTTTATGTAAGATAGCCTATTATAAAGAATTGACAGTGTTAGGGTTTTCTTTCTTTTCTATTTTTTTTTTTACTTTATATATTTACTTTTAAAATACATATTTCAAAATATAGTGAATATAGTGAATTCAAAATATAGTAGAAAAATAATGAATCGTGCGTTACCGAAACCTTATATATAGAAAAATGCATAGATTGAAATTAATGAATCGAATTAAGATATCCGCCACCCTGTAACGAAATGTTTAAAAAGATGGATTTTTTTTTCAGGCATTGGAAAATTTTCACATTTTGAATTTTTTTTAAATTGTATAATACTCTATCAAAAGTGTAACTTGCACAGGAAGGATTTAAACCTTTTTTTAAACGTGTTTGTGAGCTTAACGTTTTTTAAACCCCTATTTATACTTAATAAAACACGAACGCAGCTCGTTTCACTATGTAGCCAAATCAGCTGTAATGCATTACCATCCAAATGCATGTTTGCCCCCATACGCAAGCCAAAGGCACACCAGTAATTCTGTAGCCTAGCCTTCATTATTAATAAACGCTATCATTTTGTGCACTGTATTATGTAAGATATTCTAAAGAACTGACAAAGTTAGGATTTTTTTTTCAATTTTCTTTTTATTTTACGTATTTGCTTGTACAATACATATTTTACAAAAATAGTGAATCATGCGTTACCTAAACCTCCTTTACTGTATATATATATAAATTCATAGATTTAAATAAATAGACAAGAAATTGAACTGGGATGTCTGCAAATGTTGCGATATTCTAAAGAACTGATAAAGTTAGGATTTTTTTTTCAATTTTCTTATTTTTTATTTTACGTATTTGCTTGTACAATACATATTTTACAAAAATAGTGAATCATGCGTTACCTAAACCTCCTTTACTGTATATATATAAATTCATAGATTTAAATAAATAGACAAGAAATTGAACTGGGATGTCTGCAAATGTTGTTTGTTATTTTATATGCTTTTTATGCAATGCCTATTTCTTGACTGCAGCACGACTGTCACATGGGCGTGGCTAAACATTTGACTTTGCATAACACGTGATGGTGCATTAACAAATCAACAATTACCTTGCTAGTATTCTTTGGGGGTAACTAAAAACGGTTTTAAGAAGCGTTCGGGCAAGCTCGTCAGAAATGTGCGAGCACAATCTTCTTAGTTCTGGGTATGTTGCTCCCCTTTTGAATTTTCACTCTTCCGACTCCCTGTACCTCCAAAACTTGCGAGGCAATGGAGTCCATCTATCTGGGCTTCCACAGATGTCTTACAGTAGAAGAGAGGTGTGCTCGTTCCCGTGGACTTCTCCAAATTCGTGCACTACTCCGGCCCAGAGCCGCGCCTACAGTGGCTACTCTCAGCCGTTTTTTAGCAATTCAGCCGCTGTGAGCGCTAGCCTCAACACTCACAAAAAGGGCTCACTGGAGGAATCCGGGAGGTACTGCTTCCAAGATGTCAGCCACAAATCAGAGGAGCCTGCACGACCTAATGCAGCTTACGCAAGTGAACAGAGACTCACTACTGACTCCACCAGCAATGAAGTTTTAAACTTGGAAAGGCGACAGCAGAACAGGGTTGCACAGAATCAACTTAACTTCATTGACCAGCCAGTGACTGATGCTTCAAAGCAGTCTGTCAGCTCCATCGCTCAATTTCAACCATCACTGAACACCCCGACTATTAGATCATCCTTCTCCGATGGTATGCAACTTCTTCCTTGACCCTTCCGTCATAGACACCAATGCTGTGCCTAATTGTCACTCTAGTCTTTGTATGTGTGATGTTATAAAACCGTTTGCTTTGTTCAGTTATAGGCAAGCTATTTCAGCCATTGAGTTTGCCACTCTTAACTTTTCAACACTAGTTTGTTTTCAGACAGAAAAAAAACTAATTACGCATGCTCCACGATATAGTAAAAATGACAGAGGAATCAGAGTTGTCGTTGTGTTTTTAATGGTTAACATCTTTACATGAAGATAGTAATTCAGTGGTTTGCAAGAATGATGACAAGTACGAATGGTGAATTCACTTTTTTTTCTCTTTCCCAGGACTGCCGTGGTGTCCATCACAGGTGAGATCAAGAAAAAAGAGGAAACCTTACACGAAGCCTCAGTTAGCCGAACTGGAGAACGAATTTATGATGAATGAATTTATAAACCGACAGAAACGAAAGGAGCTTTCGGACAGATTGGAACTGAGTGATCAGCAAGTGAAAATCTGGTTTCAGAACCGCAGGATGAAGAAAAAAAGACTTATGATGCGCGAGCATACCTTCACTGTTTACTAATTTTTTTTATTTTTTTTTATATAATAACAGTCAAGGATTTCTTTTTTAGGTGGTGACATCATTCATACTGATCATTCACAGGTTACTTTTATGACGGAGATGAAAGTCCACCAAACCCCTCTGGAAAGGATTATCTCCCGAACACCTATTAAATGTCATTTAATATTAAAGCTGAATAGGCTATTGAATAATTAAAGCTGAACAATTTTAAATTGATATTTATTAGCCATGAAGTCGCTGCATTTGTATGTGTCTGGTGTATGTTTTTGGTGGAAAAAGGGTAATTCTAAAGTTGTAATGTTAGCTTGCTATATATTGTCTAAAAAGAATGCTTTGTAGTTTAAAACCGCAGCAAAATTTAGAGTAGGAACGTCTTGTGTATATTGGGTTCACAACATACATTCTGGCGTCATTTAAACGTACACTGGGCAGCTAACATAGCAAACTGAATGGGGTCAATAAATTGTCAGACATTCCAACCTTTAGTAACGTTGATAAAACCTCATTTGTATCCTCCGATCTAAAAATTTAAGTTTTGTTGTATTTTAACCAAAAGTGTTATGTGTAATATTTATTAAGTGTTCTGTAAATTCTGCATTACATTAAACTTCTGCGTTCTTGTGCGATTGTTTGTCTGGTTTAATTCGATTGGTGATTCTAAAATGCTCTACCAAACAGCAGTGGTGCCTCTAGTCCAAGCTCAAGTTCGTTTATGTTAATACACAAACTCCGGTGTGCGAATATCTTTATTCTATGAATCTCCATCATTTTATATTTTCTGAAATTATATCTAATAGAATTAAACTGAACTTTAACGAGTTATAACTAAGTGCTGTAACTATGCGTTAAGGGTGGATATGTCAAAAAAGACTGGACGGCTAAACAATTCATTATTTAGTCGCCCCTACAAATGAGTATTTACTTTTGTAGATATGTAGTAAAATCTTATTCATTTATCTATTTTTTGTTTGCTTCAAATACGTATATATGGAACAGGTAAATCAGTGGTACCATCAGTTGCGTGCGAAGATAAAACTGGCTTATACCAAATATAAAAATTTTATTTTAATATCAGCATGACAAACCAGTGACATGTAGACATATACAATGTTTGTTGTTTAGGCTTTTCAGTCCCACCTTTCTAATGCACACGCAATGCACTTACTGTTTTTCTGCAAGGTAAACGATGTGGTACAATTATAGTACTATAGTACAACAATAGGTGTGTGTGATAATATATATATATATAGAGAGAGAGAGAGAGAGAGAGAGAGAGAGAGAGAGAGAAATAATGTAGGCCTGTGTAGTTACCTTGTAAAGTAGTTATTACTCTCCGCAACTTAAAATCGTGATTGCACAGCACTACCGCTGTACACCTTCACCAAATATATTATTAGTATATTATTACCAGTATATTATTATCATTAACATTATCCAGTATTACCACTTTTTTAATTTAAAATATATATTTTCTGAATATATATTTAAGTAATTAAATGCACACATTAAAAACAAATAAGACAGTTCAATTTGGTCCAAGTTAATTGTCTTGACAATTCCTTTTAAATGCAAGCAAGAAACAAATGGAATGGAGTTTTCTTAAGATCACTATCAGACGTTTTTCGACCGCTGTAGAAACTGGGGGCACCAATACAAAGTTAAGGTCAAGTTAGTGACCGAAAATGACAAATGAAGACAAATATAGAAATCATCCATATATATATAGGTTTACATTATTGCGAAAATTGTTTTATTTTGGTGTTGAAAAATCTTTGGACATCGACTGGTGAACATACCTTTCTTTTGCTGTGCTCTTACACTTTGGGTTCTACCCAGAACAAAGGAACAACTCATGAAAAACCTCTTAAGTATGGATCGTACAGGATTTCGTTAAAGACTTCCCTGCGCGATTCAGCTAACTTTATAATATCTTGTGTAATATTTACGCACACGTAAAATTTGACATCTGTTAAAATTAAATCAGATATTTTTTTTCTCGTGGAATGGTATGGCACAAATTTAGTTTTTTCATTGTAAATCTAGAAGCCGTGCTAAAATGTACCAATAAAAACATTATTATCTTTATTAGTCACTAGGCAGGTATGCAGATTAAATAATAACAATAATACATAAAAAAATAAAAACAATTAAAATACAAGTTAGTACAAAAACAATGTAACTACTTTGGTTGTTTATTTGTTTTATAAGCTTAACACCAACTTTGTGTATCATATATATATATATATATATATATATAGGGAAAAAAACTGTACATTTGAATTTTCTATAGTCTCTCGGTAGGAATGTACAAGTCCCTTTTTACCTCCACCCAGGACACTACACCATAGCACATCCTTTTGCCTCTGCAATAAAATGATTTGGCTAGCGGTTGATGGTGATTGCCTGGTGCACATTGTCTTAGACCACAGACGTTCAAAGCCAGAACAGTTGTTTTGTACTTGGCAGTGTGAATCTGTGTATCTCTTCCTGTTCTCCCTTTCAATAATTGCGTCGAGGAATTTTATTTAAATCGTGGCCACTGGAATACATTATCGGACTAAAATGGAGATTTTACTTCACGCTAAAAAGAAAGGTACAGTTGAAAATGTTATTACGCTTTACTAGCTATATGTTGCCCTTTGTCGTTTTTGGAAAAGCTAAAACTAAATTGTTACTTTCTGTAGACTGTGTAGAATAATCAGAAAATGTTTTCGCTGACATCGCGACAGATAACTATATTTGATGAACTACATTAACTTTCTGTTGGATTCTGTGTCAGCTCCTACATTTTTTCCTACTTATTTTATTTTTTCCTCTCTCGTTTTCAGTCTTTCATATGTCTTGTCTGTATAGCCTAAGGTATAACAAAATATGGACTTTCCAGGAATTTTCTTAAAAGAGCCTATTACAGGTTTAGAAACATGCACATAAACCATGTATTTAAAAATGTACCGTGCATTTTGATCATAAGGCATGCTAGTCTTAATTACCGAGAATGGGCAAAGAAAGAGGCTGAAAACGAGCCCTAAAAACATAGCAGTTTTGCTTCAGTCGTCAAAGTTTTCTTTAGGCCGTGAGGGTCGGAGGTTGGGAAACCTAGGAAAATCTTAAAATAAAGCAACTGAATAGTACAACTTAATGTGGTGCGTTAGAAATACATTGCTAAACGTTGTGATAAAGGTGCTTTATTTAATTAACTATTGTATGATTTTAAACGAAATATTTGATGTAGTTTTTTCTGTGATTGTTTACTAATGCCTTGTAATACACACGGGGAAATCAACAAGGGAGTTTCAAAAATGTAGGCAACCAATGACCTTCCCCATGCAGTTACCTATGAGTCGCTCATTTAATGACTGATATTGATGTATGGTAATTTTTTTACCGGATCACATGACACAATTACCTCAAGAATCGATCAAGATTAATTGCACGTCAGCGTACGTTTCCGATTTTTTCTTCCTCGCGAGTCCTATCCACACGCATATGGTGCAATAGATGGGCAAAGTTTAACAGTCAAGCAGGCGATTTTTTCCCTCTAAGGCTAAAGCGAGCAATGACGGACTACGATGATCACAGCAACTGTGCATCTAATATGTATTTACCGTACTATGTTTCTGCTCCTGATTTTTCGTCCGTCTCGCCGTTTTTACCACAAACTACAGCGTGTCAAGTAAATTTCCCCTATTCTTCCAACCTAGCGCAAGTCCAACCTGTTCGTGAAGTGACTTTCAGGGACTATGGACTGGATCATCCGAGCAAATGGCATTACAGGGGCAATTACGCTTCGTACTATTCAACGGAGGAGATAATGCACCGAGATCTCCTGCAGTCATCAAACAGAGCGGAAATGATTTTTAAAAACGATTCCATGTATAGCCATCACGGTGGTACTAACTCCTCGTGCAATTTCTTCACCAACGTCGGCAGAAATGGGGTACTTCCACAAGAATTTGATCACTTTTTTGAGACTGTTAACTCTGAGAAGCCCAACCCTGAGCAGTCCAAACAAAAGCCAGATACGAGTGTCTGCGGAGATGCTTCATGCAATGTGTCCACAGATAGCGCGGAGCAGACCAAACGAGACCCTACGGAAACCATGGAGGAGGAATCCTCAATATCAACCTGCGATGAAGAAAAGAACAACGACTCAAGTAGGTCCACGCTTTTAACGGCGGTTCAATTCACATTACGTTAGCTTTTATGTGCCGCTTTATAAGCATGCAAAAGTTTTTATGCAGCTAGTAAGATTCTCTCTGCTGTTGTAAAAATCTTTAGGAGGCGCTTTCGTCGGATCATTATTATATAGGCCTATAAACATGCTATATAGTTCAACTATATATATATATATATATATATATATATATATATATATATATATATATATCAGTTCGATTAAAGTGTTTCTCTTCTAAGTTAAAATCTTTTGTGATAATATAAGTAAACAAGCAATAAGCTGAAGGTTTTTAAAACCTTGTGGTCTTTCTCGATTCGTATCGCGACGATCATTTCTGTCTTTACAACAATTCACCCGCGAATATATATATATATATATTCGCGGGTGAATTGTTGTAAAGACAGAAATGATCGTCGCGATACGAATCGAGAAAGACCACAAGGTTTTAAAAACCTTCAGCTTATTGCTTGTTTACTTATATTATCACAAAAGATTTTAACTTAGAAGAGAAACACTTTAATCGAACTGAAAACATGGATTACTCGTGTGCGCTTGCGTGCTTTTCGACTTTATGTGTGTGTGTGTGTGTGTGTGTGTGTGCTTGAGCGTGTGGGCAGCTTGCATGCTTGTGTGCATTTCATGTGGCAGAGCTTGTGTTATTTTATAGTTTATGAATACATAATCTCGTTTCTCTATCTGTTTTGTTTTTGTAACTGCAATGTGGATTACATAAAAGTTCCGTTATTGTGAAAACAATGTATGCATTGCATTAGTAGCCTACACTCTGAAAAATGCTGGGTTGTTTCAACCCAACTTTGGGTCAAATATGGACTAACCCAGCCATTGGGTTAAATTTTTTAATTAAATTTTTAACCCAAAAGTTGGGTTAGTCCATTTTTGACCCAAGGTTGGGTTGAAACAACCCAGCATCTTTTAGAGTGTATCTGAAGTATCGGACGGACTCGAATTTTTAATGTAATCTCCTGAAGCATCTGCAGTTGTATTGCAACCGATTTAGACTTCAAATTCATTGTAATGGAATCAAGTTACGTTTCTTTTTGTAGGTGCAACAAAGTCGAGAAAAAAGAGATGCCCATATTCGAAATACCAGATCCGAGAACTTGAACGAGAATTCTTTTTCAATGTGTACATAAACAAAGAGAAACGCCTGCATTTGTCAAGAATGCTCAGTCTTACAGACCGACAAGTGAAGATTTGGTTCCAGAACCGAAGGATGAAAGAGAAAAAGGTGAACCGAGATCGTCTCCAGTATTTCACTGGAAATCCATTGTTCTGAAAGCCATGATATTGGCCGAGACGATGAAACGATGGCTATTCTATTATGTCATAATTGTGGGACATCATCCATTCGTCGGACACATGGGTTATTTTCACGTCAGCTCTGTATTTAAAACTATGCAAAATATTTGCTATCAAAAATTAATGTGATCTGCGATTAAAATTCTGCACAAATGATCTACAACAGTGTATTCGCGATGAGGTAAATTATGAGTTATCAGGAACATATAGGTACCTCGACAATCTCTTCATACTCTGTGTTAATGCCACTGAAATGCAGTAGCTTTGTATTTGTATTTATTTATTGTATTTTGCATTGTTCCGTGAAATACATTCAAGTTCTGCATAAGCAGCAATGCGTTTGGTTACATCAAATCAGTACGTAATTACATTGAGGTAGAACTGTGTATGCATTTATTCGTTTGAAGCATGTAATGTATCTATGTATTGAATAAATAAAAAATACACCAGATTTCTATATATTGCTGTGACGCCTCTTGTGTGTGATAGTGCGCGTGTAAGTCAGCCACAAAATGTGTCATTTAACAGTTATTTGTTGTTATTAAATAACATTCAAGTTATTTAACAGAGTTGCATTTCAAACTGTTCAACCTACTTATTTTTCAGACGAATATGTTTTGGATTATTACAGAGGAAAGGGGAACGTGAGGTAGAGAGAGAACTATTTCCAATGGTAACTTTATAAGTCTTTGACTAATTCCTTTCCTTGTATGTTGTTTTACACTAAGGCTATTTACTAAACCTTGAACAGTCTAGACAGTACAATAAACTCTGGGCAGTAAATTAAATTGGGGCTATTGGACCCACTATCCACTTCAAATGCGACTTTGCCCTGAAACACAAAGGGTGCAGATGTTTTGTTTTTCTGTCTAGAAAGATGTGAACTCAGTATGTGATAAAATAAAAGTGAAAATATAATTAAAAAGTGTTATGTTTTGAAATCCTTAAATTGAAATCCTGCGCCTTACACATCACCGCATTTCTACAAGCATTACCGGGCCGGTTAATGACCAATGTAGCACGGTAATACTTACAGTAACTGGCTTTTCCACAGTGGTTTACAAAGTTAGATGTCGTCAACAAATGTCAAATTTAAAATGAAATATTGCATTTGAACTTCTGTAATGTCAAGGTCGTCACCCTTAACCTTTTTCAATAAGTAAAGGCGCCTTTTTGAGGTTCTCTTTGAAAAACTACGCCCTCTCAGAGGCGCCGCAGTGCAGCACGGCCCAATATGGCCGCTGCATCCACTCGCTCCCAATGGCAACACACTGACCTGCCTTTAAATGCATCCATACAGTTAGCCTACCTCTTACAGGCCTAGGTTAAATACTACAGGCAACACATAGACGCCGTTTGGCTAGGTGATATGCTGTAAAATAAAACCATGTAAATACAATCATATCACTTCCTCCATAAGGGGTTTCTTTCATAACGAGGATTTAGGCAAGGGCAACAATGCAGTAATATAAGGCTACTGCGTGTGTTTCGGTGGTGTTTTCTTAAGACTATGCTTAAAGAACCAAAAAGCTTACAAAGGACTCTTGGTGCATAAATTGTTTGTTGATTATTATCTCATCAGTAGACATATATTACCTCTGTGGAGGCAGAATATACTGGAAACACAAATTTGAGTTCTGTAGTGCTACGCAGAAACCTACTAGCTAGTTTTGTTTCCTACACTCTAAAAAATGCTGGGTTGCTTCAACCCAACTTTGGGTCAAATATGGACTAACCCAACCGTTGGGTTACATTTTGAAATTACATTTTTAACCCAAAAGTTGGGTTAGTCCATATTTGACCCAAAGTTGGGTTGAAACAACCCAGCATTTTTTAGAGTGTAGATGTGAGTCGTGTGTTCAATATACCCAATTTACTTCAACATTGTTGTGTGTTTTAGCATTTATTTCCTGTCATAATAAGGATTCTTAGACATCCCTTTGTTTATTTACATTTTGTTGATACTGCTTGAAGCCACGAGAGGGCGAACTTACAGCAATGATTTGACCTGGTGCTATGTGTAATCCAAGTGTAGCTGTTCTCAAAAACAGTGACTATGATCTTCAGTTATGTGATCTGATATAATTTATGCTGCTGCATTACCTATATTTCAAAATAACCTGAAGAACCCCCCCCCCCCCCCCCCCACAACTTAACAGAGAACATAGACACTTTACATGTAACCATTTAAAACGCAGCAACCTCAAAAAGT